CAGTGAGTTACCGGACGGCACAGGAGCACTGAGCTCACTACAGTGAGTTACCGGACGGCACAGGAGCACTGAGCTCACTACAGTGAGTTACCGGATGGCACAGGAGCACTGAGCTCACGTTCTGCGGCCAGGGAGAAGCACCCGGACACAGACTTCTGCAGGAGCTTCTGCAGGTGCCCCCAGGGCAAGGGGCCCTGCCCTGGGTACCTTTGGAGTCATGTCCACTGCAGGACAGAGTTGCTTCCAGATGTCCTGAGACGCGGGACACCGGCAGTGGCTCCAGGCACTCCTGAGGGCTCCCACTCTGCCCCTATGGCTGGTGACCTGAGCCACTCCCTCCAGTCTTCACTTTTGTCCTGCCTGGGTGCTCGGTTACACTGCTGCCTCCGTCTCGTTTCCTGATCTGGTCTGTAAATTTCTGAAGGCAGTGGTTGCCAATCTTCCCCTAAGTTCAGTATAGGTGGCAGCAGCAGTCTTATTTTCCATGGGAAAGGTCACAGCCTTGGGCTGGAATATTCCGCCTCCGGAGTGCAGCCAGATGACCTGGGGCAAAGCTAACTGCCAGACCTCGGGGTCCTCATCTGCAGCATGGGTATCGCAAGGCACAGAGCCTGCAAACAAGAGGAGCATGCTGCCTGCCATGCTGGGCAGACATCTTATTCTCTTTTAAGAAGATGTATAGAAAGGCAGTCAGTGCTTAAAGAAAGAAAGCAAGCAGGCAGATTCTGGAGTGACTTCTATTAATAGAATGAGGGCCAGGTCCTGAGACGGCACCCTTTGGACTCGGCTTGGAGAGTTCACAGAGCAGCTGCCCCTGAGAAAATGGAATGCCACATGCGCCAGCACTCCTTCCCCCACTCTCTCAACCCCAGACGTGTCTGTGCGTGTGTGCATGTGTATTTACATGTGTGTGTGTGCATGTGTATTTACATGCATGGGTCTCTGTGTGCATGTGCATGTGTATTTACATGCATATTTTTGTGTGCATGCTTGTGCAGGCATGCATGTGTGTGTGCATGTGTTCATGTGTGTGTACGGGCATGTGCAAGTGTGCATGTATGCGTGTGTGTGTGTGCACTCCTGTGTCTGTGTGATGCCAACATAAACACTAGTTTCTAGTCTGGTTCTCAGGAAATCTCTTCAGGCGCTCCTGATTTAAATTGAATTTCAGTTTGTTTGCTTTCTTTTTAGTGAGCCAGCAAATGCAGTTCCAGCTACCTTCTTCCCTAGGCCTGAAACCCAAACCAGAATCACACTGGCTCAAGGTTGAGACAGGACTATAAAGTCACAAGCTTCAAAAGTAAATGTTTATTATTGCAAAAATCACTATTCTGAAACCATATTCAGAGTAGTTTAGTTAGAAGCAACTTGATATAACCAAGCATTCAGTTTGCAGGGTTTAAAGAAGTCTCCTTAAAAACACAGTATGGAGGTATCATATTGTAACTTTTCTCTGTAAGTGACTTAGCCAATCAACAAGTCATTACTACGGGTACAGGTCACGGGCCTGAGTGAGAACCTCACCCTACCACACACGTGATCACTGACCACGTTCTTTTTAGGGCGAAAGGACCTAAGAAAAGGCACATTTCTAGCAGGTGGGCACTTATGCTTCTCCCCACTCCAGCCCCTAACCAACCCCAGAATCCTAAGACTGAGCAGAAAGCGAGTCTCCAGTTCACTGGGAAAAAAGTATTTTCTTTTTCCTACGTGACATCAGATTTGCTGATTTTCTGCCAGCCTGTGGAAAACCACCTAGGGCTGCCAGGTTACAGTTTGGGAAATGCAAACCATATTCTTACCCACGTGTCAGTGAAGTCTCGGGTCCGACCTGCTCGAATGTGGTCTTTTCAGCTCCTTGATTCTTTTGCTCCTTCTCGTCCATATCCGACATTAATGACTCCTGATTTCCTACTGCCTCATGCTGTTCTTGTCTTTCCTGTTTTCTAGAACCCCCAAGACTCTATTATTTAGGTTTTGTAATCTCCCCTAGCACCTGGCATCATGCAATCAGATCAACAGCTAATAAACTGATCTGGTTCAAATGTAGGAACAACCTGTCATGAGCTGAACTGTGCTCCTCCAGCATTCGTATTTTGAAGTCCTAACTCCCAGTATCTCAGGATGGGGCCTTATTCAGAAATGAAGTCAATGCAGATGGAATCGGTTAGGATGAGGCCATCCTGGGGTGGGGTGCCCCTAATGCGATTCCACTGATGTCCTGCTAAAAAGGAGGAATTTGGATACAAAGAAGAACCCACAGCACGGACGTCATGTGAAGATTGGACTTGGGTTGCCACAAGCCAGGAACTACCAGAAGCCTGAGAGTGGCCTGGGACAGACCACTCCTTGGAGCCTTCTGAGGGCACAAGGCCCTGCAGGAACCTTGATCCCAGGCTTTGGGCCTCCGGAGCTGAGAGACAAATGCCTCCGCATCCAGCACTAAGACCAGAGGTGGCGTCTGACTTTCAATTACGTTCCACAAACACCTAGCCAGGGTCTCTCGGGAGCACGTCACGTGGATTACACAGGAAGGTTCTCTGTGTTCTGTTCTCCTGGGACACACACAGAAAGAACCAATTCCTTGAGTTTTTCATAGTGAGTTAAGAGACTTCATTCGTTGCATTCACCAGTGAAATTAAAAGAGCATTTCATGATTTCCATGATTTTAATGTATTGTATTCGTCTTACAAAATTTTCCATCCTCTAAAATTCATCTATCTTGATTTCACCTCCTTTGACTAAATACCCTTAGGGATGTTTAAAGTGAATTTGTGAGAAAAGGGCTACCAGGGCTCCCTAGATGCCACGACCCTGAGAGTGTCTGCTACGAGAGGAGTGTGGGAAGCCGAAGGTGTGGGCAGCCCAGCCAAATATCCTGGCCCCTCCTGGGGATAACCAAAGCACAGGATCTCCAGATACAGAGAAGGGAGAAATTTTTAATCCCATTTTCCTCTCCCCTACAGCAGAAAACATCTGTCCAGTATAATGAAAAGCGTCTCTTTTCTGAACTGTTCATGTAGTTTATAATTCCATCTTCTCACCGTCTAACCTTCCACCTTGAAAGCAAAGCGGGAACCTGGGTGGAAAGTTTCCTTTAAATGAGCAGAAGAATCTGACACTCCTTTAAATGAGCAGAAGAATCTGACACTCTGTGAACGTCCTCTCTGCTCCCTCCACCCTCTTCCTAACT